CACAAAGGGGGTTCCTTGATCCGTCAGGATCTCTTTGGGTATCCCTACTCTACAAAAAAATTTGGATTAATTCCTTAGCTATGATCTTGGACATGGTGTTTCGTAGGGGTATGGCCTTGGGGTATCGGGTGGCATAATCTATGTGCTGATGGCCCTGGGCTGACGGCCCTGGGCTGATTTCTCCAGTGGGCCTACTAGGTCCATAGCTATTCACTCAATAATCGGCAGAGGTACCAAAGGGGCCCTTAAGTGTGGTCATGGTCCATGTAATTGCCATTCAGGACAGGAGGTGCAAAATTGTCGGACCACTGCATAAATTCCAGGTCAAAAAAACCTCTGCAGAATTCAATCAAAGGTTTTATCTACCCCTAGATGCCGCCCGCCCCCCCCCGAACAGATGGCTGTGGGCTTGATCCATCACACCCCTCTGATGCTTCTGTGGTACTAAGAGCTGTTCCACGACTTGCTCTTGGACCTGGACTACCCTGTATAGCAGATCCCTCTTTATCATATAATATGGCCCTGGGCTGTCCCTTCCACAGGGACTCCATTCACTTCAACTACTTCTTTGCGAATATTGTTATATGTCGGATCATTGGCCTGATCCTGCCCAAAATTCTCCAGTGAAGGTCCAATTTGCCTAGACTTAGGGGATCTAATTCTGTCTCCCTCTTGGGGGGGAGGTCCCCGGGGAACTGGGTCCGGCTACTTGTTCATTGACCCCCTGCATAATCCCCTTGTCAGTTGGGCTAACTCTTTCCCCTACGAGTGTAGGCTTCTGGTTCAAGATTCTTGTTCCCCTCCTCTTATCTGCCCTCCTTTCTCGCTGAATCTTCTTGGGCTTTCCAGGGGGAGAGAACAAATCCTGGGCAAATTCATGGAAGACCCGTGGGGGTGCTAACTATCGGGGTCATCCCATTGCTCTCAGGATTATTACCTTCTTCTGACTCCTCTACGGGGAGTAGGCTGACAAACCCTGGGAAGTCTCGTCCTATGAGGACTGGATATGGGAGTTTTGGGACCACCCTGACCATCACCTTAGTGGGGTCTCCCAGGACTTCTGTTTTTACCGGGATGGTCGGGTAGTAATTGACATCCCTATGTACACAGGATATTCCTGTGCATTTGGCCCGGGATAGTTGGTCTTGCCCGACCAGCTTTTCTGAGACCCAGCATGACCGCACTTCCCAAGTCCACTAATGCGGTGGTCTCTATGCTATTCATTTGAACTGGTCTAGTATACCTATGAGGGACCATCATAACCCCTATTAGATTTATTAGGTCGCATGTTCCTCCTAGATCTCCCAGGTCATATTGCATGGGCTCTTGTAGGTTCAGGCATTGGGCAGCTATATGCCCTATTTTCCCACATGCATAACATCTGTACCCTGCTTGGGGTAGCCCCCTATTTTTCGGGCTATTGGGCCTTACCCCTCCTCCCCCGAGTCTTTCTCCCCCAGTCCCCAAGTGCCTCCACAATCTCCAGCTGCTCTTCTGCCTCCTTCCTCCCATCAATAGTTCTGCCCAGGGCTAAGGCAACTCGGGCCCTCGGTGCAGAGACTTGCCTCCTATTCCAGCGCATTCCTTCCCTGGTGGTCCGAGAAAGTTCTTGGGCTACTAGGTGCCTCTCTATGAGGGCAACTAGCTTGTCACAGGAGGAGGGATTTTGACTGACCCATCCTTGTATGTCTGATGGTAGCCCTCTCATGTACCTGTCCAAAACTACGATTTCCCCAATTTTCTCCGGGCTATCGGTCTCGGGGCACAGCCACTTCTGGGCTAGGTGGATCAGGTCAAACAGCTGGGACCTCGGCACTTTGCTGTCCCGGTATTTCCACGCATGGAACCGCTAGGCCCTTATAGCCGTTGTCACGCCAGACCTCGCCAGGATCTCTGCCTTCAGATGGGTGTAATCTGTAGCTGCTTCTGTTGTCATGTCAAAATGGGCCTCCCCACACAGAAAAGAAGCAAGGATACTTGCCCACTGGTCTTGGGGCCAGGCCTCCTGCAGGGCTGTTCTCTCGAACGTGAGGAGATACACCTCTATGTCATCGTCCATCATCATCTTCTGTAAGTAGCTGCTTGCCCACAGGGGCCAGGACCCATGGGGGCCATGCATCAGAGTGGTCAGGGCCTTTAGCTGGTCCACAACCTCATGCAGGGTGACTCGATCCTGGGCCGCCTGGCTCATCAATAATTGATTCATCTCCTGCTGTATTCGCACTGACTCCTGCTGGGTAGCCATCTGAACCCTGGTAGCCTCTTGTTGGGCTGCCGTAGCCTCCACCAATATCTTCACTACATCCTCCATTTTTTTCTCTTCTTGTTGGGGGCGATTTCCCCTGCCCTGAGATGGTTTGCCATGAAGTCTCACTCAGAGTATCCACCCCTGATCCCACGTGTGGCAAGGCACCTTCTTGTTCTCACCAGACTCAGCTGTTTTTTAGCCTTGGTGAGACAGGCTTGGGGTAAAATAGTCCCTCTTGGCTGCACAGGGACAGTCTGTCCTTCTCTCATCCAGTGTTTTGGGCTTGTTTTTCCTCCCTTATGAGAGGGAATACAGCCTCCCCTCCTGGTGAGGCTTGCTGTCTTGCTGCTCCTCGCCTACTGGAAGCTTGACTCCTTCTCTCTCTCTTCCCGCCCTTCTCCCAATAGGGGAGGGTTTAAAAAGGTCTCAGGCAGCCCTTAGTTGGAATCAGCTGATCCTAATTTACCTCAGGTACCCACTTCTCAGCTGAACCTGATTGACCTGTAGTCACCCCTACCCAGTTTGATAGAGAGAAGGGCCTTTTAACCTTCTGGGTCTGTTTTCTACCCCCACCCTCTTGCAGCCATTTGTCCTGAGTTTATCACAGTACACTGTCAAGAGTGGGGTGCGTGGGAGGAGCTCACAGGTCTGAGGGGATGTGAAGTCAAGTGTGACACTTATGATAATAAGGGCCAGATTTTTAAAGGCATTTTTGGCACCTAAAGAGGCAGACACCTTGTCGTCTCCTTCAAATGCTTTAGGTGCTTTTGAATATCCCACCAGGTGCCTATTTCCACTTTAGACACCTAAACACCTTTTAAACATATGGCCCTTAGCTACGTGCTCCCCAGCCAGGGCTTGATTCTGGCTTTGTTCACCTCGAGGACTTCACTCAGGGCTAGCCTATGATTAGCCTTGCCACACTGGACTGGGGAGCAAGGCTACCCTGGTGTGGCTGCATTAGAGTCACCAGGTCTTAGCTTGGCTTCTGGGGGACACATGGGGGTTGTGCACTAGATGCTCCCTCTAGGGGAGCAGCTCAGTAGGAGGAACCATGGGCTGCCCCAACATTGGTTTGCCAGTAATGCTGGATGAAGGTATGGTGGGGAGCAAACTTCACCCTGAAAAGGGCTATGTGATGGGGTGGGACTCACCATGGTAGAGCCTCCTGCTGGCTGTCCTGGGAATTAGCTCTGCCAGCCATTCTTGTGGTGGTGACTCACTGCCATCACCTCTGCTGCAGCACCTATGTCACTCCAAGGACCATGGTGTTCTCTTCATGACACTGCCCTCTGGCCCCTCATGCTCTGTTCTCCCCTGTTCCAGGGGAACTGCAGTCTGCTGTCCAGCCATTTCTCTCAGTGGCAACAGCAGCCAATTGTTTGGCCACTTCCTCACTGGCAGGGTGGGGTGGCAGGAGCTGGACTCACCCACTACTCCAGGTCCCGGCGCAGGGACCCTGTAGATGACTGCCACTCGCTACATCCACTCCAACTCCTTAGGTCATTTCCCTGGGCCACCTCCCAATGGCTCTCCAGCACCCTCTTTGCCCTTGCCTCAGGGCCTCAGTCTGGAAATCCCTGCAGCCATCCAGGAGCAGTCGTTAGCTCCCCGCTCCCCCAGTCACTGCTAGCAGCACTGCTCTGTCCAAGGTGCTAGCACTCCTTCCTCCTGCTAGGAGTCTGATATTTCCTCCTCAAGCTCCAGGCAGCTACTGAAGGTGCGCTCCCCTGCCGCTCTTCTTGTATGGGCCTGCCAGGCCCTGACTGGCTGCTCCTCTCAGCCCTTCTCTGATTGGCTGCCTCTTACGCAGCCACCCTGGCGCTCTGTTAACCCCTTAGAGCCCAGTATGGGCAGGCGCCCCATCACAGGCTGTAACAGATGACTCCCACCACAGTGGTATGGGGTGCTCCCAGAGCTACGCCCTCCCCCCAGCCCAGGGCTGTGTCTGAAATGCAGAGTTTCGACATAAACAGGTCGCCCCACTGATGATGCCAGCGTGAGGATGGCAGGAATGATCTCGTAGGCCTTACTGCTGACAGGCCTGAGGGACTAGGTAGTCATGCAGCAGCACTTTTGCCAGTGCAGCGTTGGGGTCCCCTGCTTTCCCTGTCCTGCACAGCTCTTTTACATTGCCCTTGTATCCACAGCACTTGGCCGCTTCACTGGGCAGCATCAATCGAGCTTTAGGCTCTGATATTGTGCGACTTGCTTTGACTAGAAATCCTTTGCTGGGCCAGTGATCACAGACCCCTCCAGTTCTCAGGTGGAATGAAGGGTGTGCATCTATGGGAGAGAGGAATCCAGGCCAGTGTTATACCCATTAGAGCTTTCGGCTTCTGATGGCCATTGGTGCAGGGGAGAGAGTGCCTCTAAAGGAGGTCTCCTCCTCTCCAGAGTTGTCCTAGGCCGGGGGGTGACTGGGCCATGCCAGAGCTGCAAAGGTTCGTGGCCTCTGCTGCTCCTGGCAGTGTAAGGCAAAGGCCCCCTTAAAGGGGCAGACCTGCAATGGAAGGGGCAGCTGGGCTGGAGTCACCCTGAAATTGTAGCCCCCTGCTAAAGAGCTGCCTATGTGGACAGCTGAGGGTGTGGGATGGGGTATGCGTGTTTCTCAGCCAGGGTATGCTAGCATCCATTGACAGCATGATGAGCTCTGCCAGCCCCCTGCACTCTGGTTTGGTTAAGGTCTACTCAGCATTCATGATTGTCTGACCAGGTTCCAGCCAAAGGGTAACATACACCTATGTTTCAGAAACTAGAGGACACGGTCCTGAGCCCAGAAGCCAGCAAGGAGGACAAGACACTGACTGTGCGAGGAGCGGGGGACCGAGCCACGCCCACCCCAGTTCCAGCCAGGATTCGGCAGATCATCACTGAGAGTCTGGCAGAAGAGTCATCCCAAGGTACAGGATGGGCATGAGCTCTTCTGGGCCAGGAGAGGGGCCATGGGGTGCCCAAGAAGCGTCTGTCTTAGGTCGGAGAAGGCATACAGGGAAATCAGCATTGCAGTGGGGAATTGATTGAGTGAGCAATGGGGCTGGTGGGGTAGGAGGGATAGTTAAGGGGTCCATTCAGCTAGCTGGAATAATCTGGGTATTTTTAAATGATCCAAACCTGCCCCTTGGATCCTGAAGAGAAATGCTTTAAATGTTAAATAATTTAACTGAATTCAACTCTCACTCTCCCAGGTGAGAGTAACCAGCCAATTTATTCTGAGTATGTGGAAAAAACGAGGAAAGTGTTTTTAGGTGGTTTGCAGCAGGGCTGGGAGAGTCACAGGATCAACTTTGTACCTGATTGTCAGCAACATGTGACACAGGAGAGTGACAGCAAACCTGTCCCGCCCTAAGGGAGCAGGTATCAATCACCATGGTAATATGTATATACTGTTGCATCTAGGGGCCCCCCAGGTGAGATCAGAGCCCCACTGAGGTAGGTTATGTACATCTAGTTCCTGCTTCAAAGAGTTTACAATCTAAATAGACAAAGGAAGGATTATTATCCCCATTTTACAGAAGGGACACTGAGGCACAGAGAGATTAAGTAACTCACCCAGGGGCTTGCATGCATTCTGTGGCAGAGCTGGACATTGATCCCAGATCTTCTGATTCCCAGTTCAGTGGTTTAACCACAAGGTCATTCTTCCTGCCGCGAAGGCTGATGCCACAGCTAGCTCTCCACGTGGCCTGCTTGGTTGGGACCTTCTCACACCGCTAATCCACCTTTCTTGTTCCTTCCAGCTCTGTGGGAAACAACGTCTCCACTCAATATGCAAGAAGAAAATCGTATGCTGCAGAAGGAGCTCTCACGCCTTGAGGACCTGCTGGCACACACCCGGGCAGAGAAGGATGAGCTGGCGAGCAAGCACCATGCCATCAGTGAGAGGGTGAGTGCTGGGTTTAAGTCCATCTGAATCCCTTTGGGTGTGGAACAGTCTCTGCCAGGCTGGCCAGCTGGTTTCTGGGGTGGGTGCCCCATCTTTACATGGCATTTCATGAGTGCTGATGGGCAGCCACTGAGAAACAAATAGGAGGGAGGTATGGAATTCATCGTGGGTACGCATAACATTGGGGCAGATCATGAGCTGGCATGAATCAGAAGCCAGGGGAGCTACGCGGATGAACAACAGCCAAAGGTCTTACATTTAAACTACCCATTGGCCGCACCTCCTGTAAAGCCTCTGGCTGGATGCTTTCTCCCCAGTCCTTTCAGTGCGCAATGATCAGTCAGTTTATGTCCATGGATGTCAGCACTCGGCTCTCAGTATTGGATTGGCACAGTAACTCTAGCTACAGCTGGCACAGGGGAGGAAAAACTCGGGAGAAAAATCTGTGCACTTGGCCTGATTTCCTGAGACTAGTTTTTCTAGCTCTGCAAGGAAATGTATCATCTCCCTTATCCTGGCAGAAAGGTATTCTGTAACCCTGAGAGTCATAGAGGCAGTCACTCCTCTCTGTGGAGGCAGCAAGTATAGGTACTGGTGAAGATGGGAAAAACTCTTGAATAGATCAGGGAGTGATTTTTAGGGCTTTTGGTGGCTACTGCTGTTCTGGAAGTGCAATCAGAATAAGATAATCAGCAGGAGTGGCCTTTTTTTCCAAGACCTCAGCACCGACATTCACAGAATGGTAGAACTTTAGGCCAGAAGGGGCCATTGTGGTCAGCTAGTCCTAGCTCCTGCATAGCACAGGCCAGAGAACTTCACCCAGTAACTCTGTCTCAAGCTGCTCTCCAACTAGTAGCATCTTGGGTCCTCAAAAAATGGGGTTACACGCTTGCTGTCTAAGAGCTCCCAGTGGCCTTTGGGGTTTGTTAAACCACTTAATTCACTCTGACAATTGGTTCTCCTAACTCCCACAGCCTGGCAGGGCCTGGACTTTGAGAACATTGGAGCTAGAGAAGGGAAACGCACCCTCTGTGAGCTCTCCTTTACAAGAGACCCTTTATGCAATTACTCCATCGTCAGAGTTGTCTCCTTCCCACTGTTAATTGCAGGGGCTGGGCCCCTGCTGGGCAGAATGCTCTCCAAGACCAGCCAGGGAGGAGAGAGAGGCATTCCCATGATGTTCCTGGGACCTGCTCTCCGTGCTCTGTCTCTCTTTGCTGCAGCTGAGTGGAGTGGGCATTTCAGCAGGAGGCAGACACAGAAAAGGGTCCTGTAGTGGGTTCATCACAGATTCCATAGCTCTGGTTCCTACGCTCCACAGGGGACCCATGTTGCCCCAAAGCCCCAGGTCACTAATATGTGAGTGATGCACTGTCATGTAAGCATGGCCCATTGATGTCTCCTCAGGCGTGCCGAAGTGGGAGAGACAATAGCCCAGTTTTCACAGGCTGTTGCCACGCTCTGGTGCCCGAAGGTCCAGTGCAGAGCTCTTCTGCCCCTCTGCAGGAGGAGGCGCTCTGTGCTATGCTCCCTGCTCTCAGCGTGCTGTGACAATCTTCGCTAGACAAAGGTTCCCACCAAGAAGAGCAGAAATAATTGTAACTCCAAATAATTCCTATTACCTTCCTCCACAAATCTGGCATGTTAAATATGGAGCCACCGGCCTGGCCTGGAGCTGTTCCCTCTGAACAGCTACTCAAACAGACCCATGACTGTCCCCATTGTGTTAGGCTCTGCTGGTGGCTGGCTGTGGAGCTGGAGCTGGTGGGGATGGTGCCAAGGGAGAGAAGGTGTCAGGAAGGGAGGTGCTGGAGACCTTTTTTCTATTCACTTTTTGGGTCACAGCTCCTTGGCTGTTGCTGCAGAGCTACTGGTCTCACATGCAAGTTACCTTACACTGGGACGTGGCCAGCACGCTCCGATTGGGATCTTCAGAGGAGCCTATGGGAGCAAAGCATCCAACCCCACTGTTCTAGCCTCTGTCTATCTGCCTCCTTGGAACCTTCATGGTCCAGCTGTCCTGCAAGGGGCGGAGTCTTTGCTACAGGAACTCAGTGTTTTTGAATGGACAGGCAATCACTAACAGCTCAGGGAAAGCCCCGCCCGCCCAAGGGACAAGCTTGTATTTGAGGCTTGGGACAAGGAGCCAGCAGACTTGGGTTCAATTCCCAGCTCTGCCATGGACTCCCTTTCTGACCTTTGGCAAATCACATCATCTCTCTGGGCCTCAGCTCCCCACCAGTACAATGGGAATGAGACTCCTTCTGTTCTGTCTTGTCTATTGAGACTGTCAGACGTGCAGGGCAGAGACTCTCTCCCGATGTGTACGCACAGTGGGGATGGATCTCAGCTGGACTGATAATACACATACTCAATAGTAATTCAGCAGTACTGTCGTGGTTCTAGGGCTAGCTGCACCTCTGCCCCCTTTCTGCTCTCTCTGAGGGCATTGCCTCAGGTGTTCAGCTTCTTGTCCTTACCTGTCCCGGGTGTGATCTCGTGATTCTCCCACTCTGAGACCAGGAACGAGCTGTACCACCTTGTTAGTGGGACCAACTGCTTATCCTGCTGCAGGGCTGACTGGGACTTAGACGCTTGCGTTTACCACAGTCTTCTCACAGCAAAGTGTGTGATTTAACAGCGGGAGCAAAGCACTGAATAGCAACCAGCCTACATGCACGTTTAGTTTCATCTAGCCTTGTGCTTCACTCCAAGTGTGATTGGCTTCCCTCTTCAATCACAGGACCAGAACAGAACCAACTCACCTTCTCTTAGCAGAGCCCAGATCCATCTGGTTGTCAGTCTGTCTCCCCTGAAGGACACGCTGTTTAAGAAAGCCCCCCTTCCCTACGCCTGTCTGGGCTCAATTACAGTGTTGCTTAATAGTTCTTTTTTTGTACTTAGAGTGGACGATAATTCCCTAAACTGAAAACAGGACACTGGTAGTAGATTTCGACCCTTCTGCCCCCCTCCTCTCTGTGCTTCTCTCTGACCCACTCTGCTCCTATTTCCCTCCTCCCCTGCCCTCTCCTCACCTCTCTGCATTGAGAGAATATGAGCTACCTGGTGTCACTGCTCATCCAAGCCCCACCATGTGGGCAGTCCTTAATTTGTGCTGGAGCTTGCCAGGGCTAAGCCCCAGCACCTCTAGGCTTTGCAGTTCATAACTCTGGCACCTCTGGATTCCTAGCCAGCAGCTGCCGCTCTCCAGCTGCCCAGCTCTGATAAGGCAGTGCCGCTTCCAGCAGCAATGCAGAAGTAAGGGTGTCAATACCATGCCCCCCCTTACTTCTGCATTGCCATATTGCAACGCTTACTTCTGCACTGCTGCCACCACAAGTCATCAGTTGCAAGAGCAGATGGGACAAATGCCCAGTTTCCCCACAAAAATCATGATATCTAGGCCAGTGGTTAAACAGGACATATGATCACCCTATTCTTCTTCGAGTGCTTGCTCGCATCGATTCCAATTAGGTGATATATCATTCCAATTGGATGATATAAAGCTGGGAGGTATTGTTAATTTAGAGAAGGACAGGGATACCCTACAGGAGGATCTGGATGACCTTGTAAGCTGGAGTAATAGTAATAGGATGAAATTTAATAGTGAGAAGTGTAAGGTCATGCATTTAGGGATTAATAACAAGAATTTTAGTTATAAGCTAGGGACGCATCAATTAGAAGTAACGGAGGAGGAAAAGGACCTTGGAGTATTGGTTGATCATAGGATGACTATGAGCCGCCAATGTGATATGGCTGTGAAAAAAGCTAATGTGGTCTTGGGATGCATCAGGAGAGGTATTTCCAGTAGGGATAAGGAGGTTTTAGTACCATTATACAAGGCACTGGTGAGACCTCACCTGGAATACTGTGTGCAGTTCTGGTCTCCCATGTTTAAGAAGGATGAATTCAAACTGGAACAGGTACAGAGAAGGGCTACTAGGATGATCCGAGGAATGGAAAACTTGTCTTATGAAAGGAGACTCAGGGAGATTGGCTTGTTTAGCCTAACTAAAAGAAGGTTGAGGGGAGATATGATTGCTCTCTATAAATATATCAGAGGTATAAATACCAGAGAGGGAGAAGAATTATTTAAACTCAGTACCAATATGGACACAAGAACAAATGGATATAAACTGGCCACCAGGAAGTTTAGACTTGAAATTAGACGAAGGTTTCTAACCATCAGAGGAGTGAAGTTTTGGAATAGCCTTCCAAGGGAAGCAGTGGGGGCAAAAGATCTATCTGGCTTTAAGATTAAACTCGATAAGTTTATGGAGGAGATGATATGATGGGATAATATGGTTTTGATAATTAAATATTCATGGTAAATAGGCCCAATGGCCTTGATGGGTTATTAGATGGGATAAGATCTGAGTTACCCAGGAAAAAATTTTCTGTAGTATCTGGCTGATGAATCTTGCCCATATGCTCAGGGTTTAGCTGATCGCCATATTTGGGGTCGGGAAGGAATTTTCCTCCAGGGCAGATTGGAAGAGGCCCTGGAGGTTTTTCGCCTTCCTCTGTAGCATGGGGCACGGCTCACTTGCTGGAGGATTCTCTGCTCCTTGAAGTCTTTAAACTACGATTTGAGGACTTCAATAGCACAGATATAGGTGTGAGGTTTCTTTTTTGTAGGAGTGGTGGGTGAAATTCTGTGGCCTGCGTTGTGCAGGAGGTCAGACTAGATGATCATAGTGGTCCCTTCTGACCTAAATATCTATGAATCTATAGGTGTATAGGTGTACACATCTATGAATCTATAGGTGTATCTATAGCCCTTACTTCTTTAACTTGCTGACAAGAATACTGTGGGAGACCGTGTCAAAAGCTTTGCTAAAGTCAAGAAACAATACATCCACTGCTTTCCCTTCATCCACAGAACCAGTAATCTCATCATAAAAGGCGATTAGATTAGTCAGGCATGACCTTCCCTTGGTGAATCCATGCTGGCTGTTCCTGATCACTTTCCTCTCATGCAAGTGCTTCAGGATTGATTC